ACTGGGATCTGTCTTGTTTTCCTTAACACTTCCAACATTGGTGACCCTGTCTGTCCATCTGATCCTCAGTAACTTTGTTAGACACCTATTTGTATTGCAAGTGCCATAAAAATCTTACTAAAACTAAACAAAACGTTTTCCTTGTTTTGTTTGGCAGAAATGGCAGAGCTGATCCATCTTCAGGGAGAGAAACTGGACACGGTCAAACAGATAGAGAGAAAGGCCAGGGAGAACAGATGACAGACAAGTCAGGTGGATAGAGAGAAGGAGGGAGAGAAAAATGACAGACTGGACAAGAAGTGGTCACTGATATATATATAGATCTGAACTTGCATAAAAATGTACTGACTTCATAGAAATGGCGTTAATGACTAGACTAGGTCTGTAGAGCTAAAACAATGCTGGGATCTGAACTTGCATACAAATGTACTGACTTCACAGATGGCGCTCATATGACCTTATGCAGTTGTGAGCGCCGTAAAACCTCTACTACTAAACTGACTCCACAGAAATAGCATTGAAGGCTAGACTAGGTCTATAGCTTGGACAAAGAAGTTAAGCAAGTCACAAACTTTCCTGGCTTAAGGGAAGGAAGAAGAATAGAGGCAAAGATGGGGGACAGTGAGAAGGTGGCAGAAAGACAGATGGAGAAAGGATGTGAAAGAAAGAGAGAGACAAAAAGAAGAAAAGCAGAGGAAGGAGGAGAGACAGACATACAAAGGAGAAAAAAAAAAAGGAAAGAAAGGGGAAGATGGGGGGGAAGAGGATGTGGTAAGGAGAGAAAGAGATTAGAAAGGGGGAAAATGGGTGAAAGAGAAAAGGTGGCAAAAAGGAATAAAATAGTTGTCCAATACTGCCAATAAGTGTGAGAATGAAACAATGAACTTCTTTTGTCAAAGTTACTCAACAATGAACGTATTTCTGACTTGCATGAGTCCCTACATAATTAGTGCGCGCGCATGTGTGTGTGTGTGTGCACGTACGCTGTGTGTGTAATTGTGTGTGTGTGTGTGTGTGTGTGTGTAATTGTGTGTGTGTGTGTGTGTGTAATTGTGTGCGTTTCTATGAGTTTGCGGTCGTTCAGGTTAAGGAACTGATAGTGACTGCATGTACCTGGGCCTTCCACTGAAGTAAACAAATGTTACTACACAATGCGTGGTGTCGTCTTTCGGAGAGACGTCAACACAGCTGAGCAATCAATGAATAAAACGAGAACTTTGTTACTTCATATATATATATATACACTAATGTATATGTATGTCAATGCTGAATTATCCGTTTAGTGTGGTATAGGTGTTATGTGTCGAGTGACATCGATGTTAAGTGTATGGACAGATAACAAATTTTCAGGTTTTATTACGTATTGTCTTTGTGCAATTGTAATTAAATGGATGAGTTGTAGAAAAATAACAGATAGCTTTAGTGAAAAATGCAAATTTAGTCTGACTTGTAGCCTCGCGTAGATCGTTATGTCTTCCAAGAGGGCTTTTTATTTCTAGTATTGTTTTTACACTTTTACAAATAGAAATCAACAACGCAATAGCAGGTGCAGTGTGTAGCTGTCTCCTTCTCCAGTGGTGTGTGTGGAAGAAATGTCACAACGAAAGTGTGCTAATGATTACATTCAGTTCAACAGTTGTTCCATCTCTTGGAGAAGGGTTTTTGCAACACAAAGCATTCTTTGAGTTTTCATCACCTACATGATAAGGAAAAGAAAATGGAAGGACTTGTCAGGCATTTACTGTAAAGACTGAACATGTATATCTGTATCTGTGTGTGTGTGTGTGTGTGTGTGTATATGCCTGTGCGCATACTGATACATATGTTACACATACATATGTGAGGCTGTGTGGTGGAATCAGGCTCTCGTCAAAATAATCAAAATGAAGAAACTTGGATTTTTCCGAAGGTTTGTGAATTTTTATCAAATTTTTGTTTTTTGGCTCATCACCTTTCATGCTCGTTGAAGAACTCATTTCTGTGTGGATTTTTCTGAAAAACGTTGATTAAAGGCACAAAAAATGTAAAGTTTCAGTTACCACGGACTCTTAAGCTAAGGAAATAACTAATCTTTGGCGGCCATTTTCTCACTAATATTACCTCTGAAAACAAGTGACCCCGACCTCCTTCTTTCGCAAATATCTCGACTTGTATTCAAGATAAATGGATACTTTTTTCATCCCAATAAAGACAAGTGAACAAGTTTTAAGATGATACCAATAACTCTACATGCCCAAAAATTGACGAGAGCCTGATTCCACCACACTGCCTCACATATATGTATCTGTGTGTGTGTATGTGTGTGTGTGTGTGTGTGTGTGCATATATACCAGTACGCATACTGATACATATGTTACACATACATATATGCACATATGAAAAAATATATATACATATCATACACTGGAGGAAGATGTGACAGATCAACAGTGTTTGAAAAGAATACTAAAGAATTGCAAGTGTTCCCGACTTATCCTATTGCTTTTTATATGTGGTGGAGGGACGTTGCCGTGGAAGGGAAAAGTGTGCTGTATTGGTGCAAACAATAAAACTAGTATCCGTGTACTACTTGTAGCACAGTGGAGTCGGCTTTACAACCAAAATACAGTATGTGGGTTGTTGGCGGGTGCTCTGGTGTGGTATGCTCCTTCTTTCCTATCAAACATCTATCGTCCTTATCTCCCCTTCATCTTTTTTATGTTTGTTACTCTCTTGTAACACCTCTAATCTTCTGGCGCTCATATGACCTTATGCAGTTGCGAGTGCCGTAAAACCTCAACAAAAACTAAAACTAAAATACAGTATAACACAGATAGCCAGAATTCGTCATACAGGACGCGCCTCGGTAGTTTGAGGGATGGGTGTTCATGGGATATTTCACAACGATAAAGAAAAGAAAAAAACCGGGACCGCAGGCACTGTTCGAGAGATGCGTGATTCCGAGTCTTCTGTGTTGACCTATCCGTGTTATACTGTAAGTGGGGTCACTTGATTTTCTTGGGTGTAGCCAGGTTTTTGGTTTAGAAAGGTTTCTCAAATAGAAGACACCCCCCCCCCCCCCCCAAAAAAATTTTTTTTTAAAATAAAAAAATTGGAGATTTAAAAATGATCTTTCTTTTTGGGAGGGGGGGGGGGTGTTTGCCGCTGTTTTTTAAATTCAGATTGTCTGTGTTTGGTTTAAGCCGACTCCAGTGTAGGTGTGAAACCATTGAGCTTGTGCTGCTTGAGTGTGGAAAACAACTACTCATTTCATAATCATGATAGCATACATGTAGAAGTTACCTGAGATATTATTGTGTCCTTGTTGAAGACGTACATGTCAGTTGGCTTTATCTTTTTACCGATACACAAATATATAATACAGATATACTTGTGTGGTTTCTATATCCGGACCTATATTGGCATCTGACAAATTAATCACATCTTTACGCTTGCAACCTGGTTACCTTCTTTAAAGTATAAAAAGGTTTATTTATCTTATCGCCTCTCCACCTACCGTAAAAAAATTTGTTAGCGTCTCTTCATCTACAGTAGACTTCATTATTTTATTATGTCTAATGTTTTAGTAAACTACATTATTATACATCTGATCAATTCTTCAACCACAGTGAAGTTCATGTGTCTTATCATCTCTCCATCTAGATTAAACTTCATTATCTTATCATCTCTCCATCAAGAGTAAGCTTCATTATCTTTTTCTTATCATCTCTCCATCTAGAGTAAACTTCATTATTTTGTCATCTCTCCATCTACCATACAGTTCATCTATCTTATTATCTCTCTATCTAGAGAAAATTTCATTATCTTATCATCTCTCCATTTAGAGAAAACTTCATTATCTTATCATGTCTCTCCATCTAGAGTGAGTATACTTCATTTTCTTATCATCTCTCCATCTAGAGTAAACTTCAATATCTTATTCTTATCATCTCTCAATCAAGAGTAAACTTCAATATCTTATCATAATTATCATCTCTCTAACTGCCATACAGTTCATCTATCTTAATATCCCTCCCTACATGGTGGGTTTTTCACTAGCCATACAAGTAACTGGTCTACCAGTGTTTTGATCACACTTTTGAAGACTTTAATGATCTGAACGCAGAGAACGTAACTTACTGGTTAACTTGCCTGAAATGTTTCTTCCACTTCTGTCTTACATCTTGAAAGCAATTTTCAAGTTTTTAACATTCCAGCTTTATTTTGTATCACATGATCGATTTTTTGTATTCTGTTATATTACAGGCTCATTTTTTATGTCCTGGTGATATTTTCAAGCATTTAAAAAAAATCGTTTTGTGTTGATTTATTTTTTTCTTACACTGTCTTTGATTCCTTAACATTAATATACTTATGCTGTTGAACCACCCTATGAAAAGAGAATAAAAAAAGAAGAATGATTCATGATACCCTGGGTATCTGTTGCTGCAGGTCAAGTTGTGAATGTTGTGTTTGGACTTTGAGTTGTGTGTTGGAGAAAAGTTCGTAAAACTTTTTCATACTTCCTGTTTTTGAAAACGTTTATGTTATGATCTAGCTATAAAAGGCAATGACTTAGGCGGTTAATTGGTGCTCTGGTGTGATTTTTTCCTTTTTCCTATAGAAGAAATCTATCGTCCCTATCTTTCCTTTTTTTTGTGTATGTTACTCTCTTGTAACAAATCTTATCTTCGGCACTTATGACTTAATTGCGTTACAAGTGACATAAAACTCTTACTACAACCTACTAAAGGCAAAGACACCAAAGGGTAGACCAGATCAAACTGACATTCTTCCTGGATAGTGAAAGGAAATTAATATTTGTTGTTCCATGTCGTCCGTCCGTGATTATGTTTGTTGTTCCATGTCATCCATCCGTGATTATGTTTGTTGTTCCATGTCATCCGTCCGTGATTATGTTTGTTGTTCCATGTCATCCGTCCATGATTATGTTTGTTGTTCCATGTCATCCGTCCGTGATTATGTTTGTTGTTCCATGTCATCCGTCCGTGATTATGTTTGTTGTTCCATGTCATCCGTCCATGATTATGTTTGTTGTTCCATGTCATCCGTCCGTGATTATGTTTGTTGTTCCATGTCATCCGTCCGTGATTATGTTTGTTGTTCCATGTCATCCGTCCATGATTATGTTTGTTGTTCCATGTCATCCGTCCGTGATTATGTTTGTTAAGATATATTTGCTCCAATGCTTTACTGATACCAAAGGATTAACAAACCCGTATTTGAAATTATTGTGCACGTTACTTAATGCGTATACGTTTGTAACTGAACTTATATTTATTTATACCAATGCATTAAGGTAAATAAACCTGGCAATAATATATAACAAGGTTTTGAGTTCAGTTTTGTTGTCTTGTACAGAAGGGTGATCAATCGAATGGGACTTGTTAGACTGACTGACAAACATTCTCAAAGGAGGGACATTTCTCGTTCAAGCATAGTAGAAGTGTAAATGGGCTGATTCATGTCACGCTCATAACTGTGCCTGATCTACAACAGGGAACTGCTGCTTTTTCTTTCCTGATCATTACTATTGTCATTTTCCTCTACTTCTTTTGTATGTTTGTCACTCTCTTGTGACCTGCTATTTTGGGGTGCCTTGATAGTCGAAGCAGACTTTGTGTTGTTGAAGCTAGAGAGGTGAGCAGTCTAAGTCTGATTCAATGTAAAGACTTCTCTGTTGACACCCACTCCTTAGCGCTCACATGACCTTATGCAGTTGCGAGCGCCGTAAA